TGGGTCAACATTTCTAAAGAATGCTTTCAGCGCCTTGTTGAATCAATGCCACAAAGAATTAAGGCAGTTCTGAAGGCGAAAGGGGGTTAAACACAATATTAGCATGGTGTTCTTAATAATCCTTTAGATGAATGTATATAGATAATATGTAGATATGATAACACGTTTAGATAATATTTACTTGAAAACACGTTCCGAATCAGTGTACCAGAAGTCTCTATCTTGGATAGCTTGTTTATATACCTGAGCATCAAAAAGAGTGAAACTGGCATTTTACGCATGTGTGTTTGGATGGATTTGACCTTGACCAAGTGTTCCCTATATGCTAGTCTTTTTGTTTTATCGAGACTGGAGGAAACAGGTCAATTATGTCCTTGATGAAGAGTCCTTATGACCGGTTTGAATCACAGTGGCTATCGTTACAAGTTTATCTTTACGATACAAACTTTCCCAGGCATTGTTTGTGTGGCTGATAAAAGTCATGTTCTATCTTAGGACACAATCCTGGTCTTCATGACATGAATGGATCAGCGTGAGTGGTTGCTGTAACGACAGGACCAGGGCAGAGGTGGCTGGGTTGTAGAAGCACCTCTCTTAGGTCAGGGTCAGAGTTGAAAGGTCACAAATGGCTGGCTGTATCCACTCATCAGGTCAGAATGGAAACTGCATTGGATACCATAAAACCGTATCAGGGCCCTATCACAATGACTGGTTGAAATCCAATAACCGTCAGCCTTGTCCCCAACACACAGCACTGATCGTTAAGGCTTTTTGATTGGGGTCATTGCTTCCTTTAATTAAAGAATAATGCCTTTCCCTCACCCATCAAACATTCATTTATCTTTGTAGTGAACATTTATTTTTTGTGCTTGGTTGATGACAGCCGCTAAAATGTGTTTTCTCCTAACAAAATATCCTAGTATATATGCAGTTTTTCCCAAAAATGTAATCTAATGAATTTTAGTTGGCTATTTGGTCTGAAAAAACACCTTCCTGTTTTCTCTTACTGTACAATTTTCATTTCGACTTCTTCTTTTGATCTTATAAAATGTATTGTAACACCCAAAATTGATACAGTCGATATGGAATAAAAAATAAATAAAATAAGAAATGGCGTTTTATTCAGTTTCTGTAAAAGGAACGTGTTCTTCTATCCCAAATTTATCAGATTTTTTTCTTTTACTGTGGCACTCTCAGAACATTCTGTTGGTTTTCTCAATGCTGTTTGTTTGAGACTGGACTTGACCAATTGTAGGAAGTGTCAAATAGTTCCTTTTTGAAAATAATTATTTAGCAATTCCATTTGCTAATGTGAGTGGTATAGAATTTACAATTTTTTTCTTACCTTTCTTATTGGTTTGCTGTATTGTCTCTGTTTAAATGATGTATAGTGTAGATGGTTTAGTAAACTAATGGTGAGTAATGAGTAACCAAACATAGCTTGCTGTCTGAAACCTGATGTAAGATTTACTTAAAGGGTTAGTTCACCCAAAAATGAAAATTAAGTCATTAATTACTCACCCCCATGCTGTACCAACCCCGTAAGACCTTCGTTCATCTTCGGAACACAAATAAAGATATTTTTGATTGAATCTGAGAGCTGGATCAGTCCTATATAGACTGCCTAAGGGACTGGCTCTTGACGGCCCATAAAGTCATTAAAGAAAAGGTTTAAATATTCCATGTGCCTACAGCGGCTCAATTATAAGTTTATCAAGCGACGAGACTACTTTTTGTGCGAAAAAAAACCCATAAATAACACTTTATTCCACTATTCCATTACTTCCTTATGGGCGCATGCGCGAGAACTGAGACGAGGACGTTCTCATTCGTCTACTTCTTGTTACCGGCTGCTCACCGCTTAGGAGTTTTACCGCCCCCTACCGTATAAAATGATTATCCATATATAAGGCGCTCCGGATTATAAGGAACACTGTCGTTTTTTGAGAAGATTAAAGGCTTTTAAGTGCACCTTATAGTGCGGAAAACACGCAAATTGAAAAGCTTATGTACAGCGCGCATCTTCCTCTGCTTGTAAACAGAAAGTTTTGCGCTTCCAGCTATATCAGCACATCATCTTATACGGTAGGGGGCGGTAAAACTCCTAAGCGGTGAGCAGCCGGTAACAAGAAGTAGACGAATGAGAACGTCCTCGTCTCAGTTCTCGCGCATGCGCCCATAAGGAAGTAATGGAATAGTGGAATAAAGTCATTATTTATGTTTTTTTCGCACAAAAAGTAGTCTCGTCGCTTGATAAACTTATAATTGAGCCGCTGTAGGCACATGGAATATTTAAACCTTTTCTTTAATGACTTTATGGGCCGTCAAGAGCCAGTCCCTTAGGCAGTCTATATAGGACTGATCCAGCTCTCAGATTCAATCAAAAATATCTTTATTTGTGTTCCGAAGATGAACGAAGGTCTTACGGGGTTGGTACAGCATGGGGGTGAGTAATTAATGACTTAATTTTCATTTTTGGGTGAACTAACCCTTTAAAGGTGCTATATGTAACTTTTCTTCTAAAATGAATCTTTTTTGATTGCCTGTATTTGAAGGGGTTGTAATCACACATTACAATGATCCACTTGTCAGGTTTTGCTATTTCCTCTGAATGCCAGTATTCCTGTTTCTATGTGAAATCTCCAGGTCAGATTTTCTGCAAAATCCATCGGATGTGAGTGTGAAGTGCATGCACGCTCCCGAGTCTCTCTCCTTTTTATATACAGTCTATGCGACGGCACTGCAGTTGACGACATGGAGTCTGATAACACTAAAAAACGACCTGTCTCCAGCACAACACTCAACACAAACTCCACATAAATATAAAAAAACAAAACAAAAATTTATCCTCTGAAGCTCGTCAGGCCAAGCGTGAATTGGATCGACTTAGGACGATCAACATCGGCAGATCGTTTTAATTTTATGGAGAGACCTCCGGCATTTTTATTGTGATAAATGACAAGTTTTTTAGATATGTTGAAATAATGGTAAACTGTAATGAAATAGCAAGGTAAACTACAACATATGAGACATGAAATGAATACAAAAGACTGTTTCAGGATAACAAAAAGTAGATGCTTTAGGATGTAACTTTTATGTACTAGATCTACTGTCTAACGTCACTCATCTCACTACTATCATATTGTTTATAATACACATTTCCAGACATGTTCAGTACAGTAATGTTACTTCCTACGGTCTTACTGTTACACTGAAATTGTTCAGTTTAGTTCACTAACCGTTTTCGTTATCATATTATACATTCACCTAGTGTTGTCACGGTACCAAAATTTCAGTATTCGGTACCAATACCAGTAAAAATTCACGGTTTTCGGTACCAATTTCGTTACCAAAGCTTAGTTTAAATTTACATATATTTAAGTGTTTATCATGGTTACAAGTATGGAAACTGTACATTTAAACACTTTAGAAAAAGATAAGATAAAATGACCTAAAATAAACAATAGTATACACTAACACATTTTTAAAGTTGTGTAAAGTTTGAATCCGTTAACATTTATTTAATGCACAATGAATGAAGTGAACAAACATGAACAATCAAGTGTTTGTATTAAAGAACATTTACAAACATTAATTAATGTTGTAAAAATGTATTGTTCACTAAGTGTGTTGATGTGAATTAAGTAATGTTGATGAATGGTATCTTATTGTAGCATTACCAAACATATACAGGAGATAAAACATGTTTTATTTGACTTGACCTGGTATTCCATACCTAGAAAAGCTGCTACCGTAACATTTTTTTTGTTTTTTTAGTACCGACTTGGTACCGAAGTACAGAGTTTTTTTTGACAACACTACATTCACCTATGTTGACATTGCTGATTGTGAAAGATACACGAATAGTTAGTGAAATGCCTTATGCTAGATAACAGCACAAATGTAACGTTATCATGGTATGGGCATGGAGCATTTGTTCAACGTCAAGCTGAAAAAAATAGCCTATTATTGTAACGTTACAGTGGGAGTTTACATGAGTTTCCAGCATGTTGTGTGATGCTTTCTCCGGTGTGTTGAAAGTCTCAGTGTGGCCGTGTACCTTGAGTGCCCTTCTGTTCGAGCACGAGCGCTCTCGTAAAAATTGGTTGCAATCTGAAACATCACCGATAGAGGCCACTAAAAAAATACATAGAGCACCTTTAAATATGCTTCCTTAAATATTTATGTTGGAGATTCCAAAGTAATGGGAATTAACAGCTGTTATAGTGAACAAAGCCTCTGCAATATATAAAGCCTTCACATATTGCCATTTTAAAATTTTGTTTATTTTGGTTTCAGGCTCACTTTTCTTCTCCCAGAGGATGGTGAAACATTTCCTGCTTAATGAGCAAGTAGATTTGCCTGGTTTCGTTTTTAATTTATGACCTTAAAAATATTGCAGGGTATTAAAAAATAAATCATCATCATTATGAAATGATTGCTTGGGTTGCACCTCTACTTAGAAGCACTCTCTGTTGGCCGAAACAAATGAGACTTTAGGGTTGGACCGTTACCCTCATGTCTGCATGATACAGTCTTGAAAAGAGCCCTCGAGAATACACAAGCGACTTTGTACATACTCATGACCTGGTTGTTATTATTATTCTTGAGACGATCACAGGGAAGTGTTGAAAGGTTGGCGCAGCTGTGAAAAATGTCAATGATTTGGTCTCGCTCCTAGGCTATTAAACATCACTGAAAGCTGTGGTTGTTTATACTAACACCTTTTACAACAACCGGGTGAGACCTGTTAAAGTTTTTGATGGGTTCGCTTGGTTAAAGGCAATCTTGAACATTGAAGATGCATTATAAACACGTTAGAGGCACGTTTTGCTTTGTTCCATCCTTCCTCAGTGATGAAGTTCTGGATGAAGTTTGTTGATGATGATGAAGCTTGCTTTCTGATGTCGCAGTTCATTTTAATCCCAACCTTCCTCTCTCTGCTTGGTTGTATACATTGTGTGTAAAGTTTTTTTTTATTTTATTTTTTTCTCTCCACAGGAATGGCAGAATTCCATCCAAAAGAATGCGGGTTTGGCCTTCATCGAGCTTGTGAACGAGGGCAGGTAATTATCTAATCCCATCCTCTGACCCTTTCTTAGCCACCTCCTCATTATCTTCTGGCCTACAACGCTATGTTGCGTGTATACAATCAGATCCTGTTTGGGAGGTAATCGATGTAATGTGGAAAGGGGATCTACAGGGTGACCTGGAGTTCAAGGCGTCTGTCAATAACTTGGCTTGTTCCCATATGTTTTTGTGAGGGCAGCAGCGCCTTAGTTTCTTGTCCACCTCTTGGGAAATCTTTCTCGTATCTTGCTGTTTTCAGACAGGTTTATGTCTCATCTTTTGGACTCTTTTACCCAAACTCCCTTTGGGATGGAAGAGTCTCTGTCTTCAATTTCAAGCCCTTAGATCTTTCAGATGGCTCTCGTTTCTAACTTAGCAATGTAAATTAATGTTAATGAACGCTGCTGTGCTGATGAGCTCTCCAGAAATGTTAATGAATGCAGTGATGCGCTGAGGCTCTTCCACCTTAACTGCTGGCCATCTTTATGGCTCTTTTTTCAAACACATGCTTTTCTTTTGGAAAAGTAGGTTGAATGTTTAGACATCATCTTTGCACACCGGCACCTGTCATAGAGATATCACCTAGCTCTAAAGTGCACATCAAATATGCCACTATAATGCTTACTGCACTAAAATTATGATCATCAATACTGATTTACAGTAGTCACAGTGTTTTTCCCAAAGTCAAGCTACTTGGAATATGTAGTAAGCTAAGCTAACAGTTACTCTACATTAAATTAAGCTTGACTACACAGAAGATACCCTCCTGAGAAATGTAGCAAGCTAAGCTGCAGCAACATGGCAAAAGTACCAACCAACTTCATTCCACACAAGTCAATGTTATCTCAGTGATCAATAAAACTGTCAGTCAAACAGATTGTTCAATTCAATTGTTTATTCAACAACTGTTCCAAACCAATTTGGCTACAATAACAAAACCACAACTATATAAATGCATATAGCTATATAAAACCATAACTATAACAAAACCAGGTGTCCTGGAGATTGTGGATCTTTCAATAAAGTCTTGCGTGTCAGCCCTAGGATTGTTACGTGATGTCACCGTCTGGAGCAGAGGGTGGTGGTAATGCACCAAAAAGCTAGTTGCCAACTGCCGTAAAACATGAAGTAGTAGCCTATGACCATCATACAGAAGTACTTCTGTCGGCTACACAGCCAACACAGGTCCATGTATAGTCGTGGCGTCACTTACTGATCCAGGATCAGTGATCCTTAGCATTTATTTAGCAGAAATTCTTGGGAAAATTGCTACCGCACTACTTGATTTACAAAAGAGCTTTGCTACTGAAAAGCTATCTGATTCAGAAAACAGAGACACTACGCTATTGAGGATTACCACTACAGTATTGAGAACACTACCACCACACAATTGACCTATGGCTAAGCCACGCCCTCAAACGCAATGAGCCAATCACAGTGTGCAGTTAACCCAATACACTCGGACATTCTCTGCTTCCACGTCCATTGAAATGCATTGCAGTTAGTCAGGTTTCATTCGTTATTCTTGTCATTTTGCATGCAACATTTTGCATGCAACTCCGACACTAGGTTCCCGAGAGGCTGGGCGGCGGTGTGTATTTTTTTTTTTTACCCTTTCCCAAGCCACATCTTAACCGAGATAAGTGTCTGGTCTGGATTAAGTTATGTGATTAAGTGATGCGGTAGACCACAACACCAACTAAACGTGGATAAATTAAACAAGGATGTCTACATTAGGGGTGCAACGGTACAGATAGCCCACGGTACGGTCCGTACCTCGGTTTTTGGGCCACGGTCTCGGTTCGGTTTCGGTACATGTTTTGTGCAGAAAGAGACTGCTATTTCATCCCAAAAATATGTTTTATTTTTCTTATGAGCATAAACAGAATGTCACAGTAGGAAGAACATCAATGTGTATGGAATAAATTAACACTCTAGTCTGTACTGAACAACACTAAGCAATACAACCTCTTCAAATACCACTTATGATGTACAAAATGTAAACGAGCACACTTTAAAATATTCAAGTGGATCCCAATTCCAAACCTTGATAACTGGTAAATGAAGTGATCAATGTGAAAGAAAAAGTGCACTTTTACCTTTAACAAAAATTAGCTTGTGGTTTGAATAAAAAGAGCAGAGCAAAATAATATAATAAAAAAAAAATACTGCATTCAGGATACAAAGTGCAATGTTACTAATCCACTTTTGAGAGATTCTTGTGCAAAAAATATACTGCAGTCAAACATTTGACTGGGTTTGCGTTATGCATCCACTATGTGCTGGGAATGTAGAGAGTAGGCTACGGAGCCGGAGGTGAGGCGTTTATTTAGTGCGTGAGCGCGCTGGGGCGGGCACGTAACTTACATTCGCAGCCTGACTCATATTATTCAATGTGCGGCGGCTCACTAACAACAGTTGGCTGTTTTGAATGAGACGACCCGTGTGAACGGGGAGCGTTTTATGAACATCTATGACGCGCGAGCAGCGCCGGCCTGTTCGTGTGTCTGTTAGAGTGAGCGCTCGTGAGCGACACACACATAACCTGATTTATACGAGGTTGAACTGGCCGTGTGACAAAGCGGGCATAAGCTGGACACGAGCGCGAGTTCGCGGGCGAATTTAATCCATATATGATATGGATCTAATATAAGGCACACTGTTGTTTTTTGAGAAGATTAAAGGCTTTTAAGTGCGCCTTTTATAGTGCGGAAAATACGGTTAAAGGATCAGCACGAACTCTATGGCAGAACCGAAGTCCCGCGGGACACGAGGTTAGATTGTCCCGTGCAGGGCTGACCGAACGGTCTGGGATTTTACCGTGTACCGTTGCATCCCTAGTCTACATCTGTTCTAAGAACAACGTATTTGAACGTTATCTTTAAAATATCAAACGTAAGAAAGCGTTAACGTTAGCTTCAAGCTGCGTTGTACATCATGTCACTTCATTAACATCTGTAAATAACCGAGATAACAAATGTTGACAATGTTGTGCTGAATGATTAATGTAAATACTGTAGCACTAAAAACGGTGATGGCAACGATAATGGTTTATAACGTTTACAATGTGAACTATACATTTTTGCCTGGAGCTTTTTATTGACCTTCTCAACAATAAAATTATTAATATAACCCTCCAATGCATAGTTAAGGCCCTTTTTGTAACTTTGAGATGATACATAATCTTTCTGTCTCCAAAAATCACCAATTACCTCCTGTGAAATGTTACCATAGCGCCTGCCCCCGAATGTTGATTGTTTGTCCAAGCGAGTGGAGGGGGCGTGGCTTAGCCATAGGTCAATTGAGAAATGTAGTTAGTAACTTCACTACTTGTAGCGATGCTACTGCTCAACACTGACAAATACTGTGGCAGTGCAGTGATTACACTGTATGGGATGATAGCTCTGTATTGCTCTCGCGAAAGTCACACTCCAACCGGTCTAATTTAAAACGGTTTAATTTGGTGATGATATTACCATTTGTATAATCGGTAATCGAATTTCTTTTGTTTCTCTAGATTGTCATATCATAAAGTAAGTAAAAACAGATAAAGAAAGGAAAGAAAGCAAAAGGGTGATAGAATGAAGGGCAGTCACAGAGAGTGGGCTGTGTTATTGATGGCAGTCGGGGTGAGAGGGTTGGGAGAGGGTCACTGCAGAGTCCCTGGCACGTCCGCTCCCCCGCTGCCCGCCGCCGACACACCAGGCTCGAGTTTCAACCCTCCACCCTCCGCCTGTTATTCTTCCACTTTGCAGAGGCCTAAGCCTCCTGACCTGCTGAGATACTCATCTCTGTCCCTGGGGGGAATGTTTTATTAGGCCATGGCTTGTGTTGTTCACAAATCTGCCCGGGGTGTAAATGTGCTGTTTCAAGATCAGGTTCCTCCCTGTCTGTGCTAACCCAGGGCACCGTGGTTAGGAAAAACAATGCTGATTCACAAACAAGACTCTTGAGATGGAAAGAACAGCTTCAGGTTTTGATGAGGGTTGACAAACAGTAGCAGTAAAATCAGGATACATCTGATCTCCCATCAGCCCCTATAATCATCAGATGTCCTGTGATAAGAAACTGTGTGTGTGTTTATCCAAGGAAGGCTGTTCTTACATATGTAGAAACATGAGCTGGGGTGAGACGTGCCCCTTCTCCACACCCCCTACATCCGTATCTTGTTAGATACGTATCATTTACAAATCAATCGCTGGTTGTTTTAGTTGGGGTGGTTTTTAGCTGCCGTGCTAAATATGATTTTCTGCTTGTTTTACATGGTGTTGTTAAGTGGGTTTAGCGTACTATTTACACTTCGATTGCCTAACACAACTGTGTTATTAAATCAGCAAAATTTATTTCACTGATTAACAGTTGAGAGACGTAGAAGATATCCTTTTACTATTTTGTTGGCCAACATCCTTCATTGTACATTGAATTTATATATTAGTATTCTTTAATATGGATGCACAATATACCAAAGCAACATAATTTATCGCCCATATTGGCAGAGATTATTAATGTTTATTGTATCGGCCAATATTGGTTGTTTATCAGCTATATGATATTTATTAACATTTTTTTTTAAAGTACTATATATTTAATATATAAGCCATACTATTAAAATATATATTGGCTTATTTGTATTATAATTTCACTATAGGTGGATCTGTTGTGTCTTGATTTCTCTTGCATCTCTTACGATCAGTAACATTTTTTTTAATACATGTAAAAATACATCTGTGATTTGTTTTCTGATTTAGTTTACTTGGATCTGTGTGAAATGCTAACTTGGATTCAGTCTACCTACACAAACTGCATAATTATTGAAAATAATTCAGATAGAATCATGTGCATCGTGTATGAACTCCTAATGTTCAATGTGTTTTTGATGTGCAGACTGCTGAGCCACACCATGAAGGACCATCTGGTGCGTGTAGCTAATGAGGCCGAGTTCATTCTGAGCCGCCAGAGAGCAGAGGACATCCACAAACACGCTGAGTTTGAGGTGAACACACACACACATATACATGAAATGACTTTATTGATACCACTAAATATTGCCCTTGCTTCCTGCACTATTAATTTGGCCAAACATACTGATGACTGATGGCAGTTGTGAAGCTTTTATCTTTAGCTTACTAATACTGGATTTATTTGATCAAAAATATTGTGAAATATTATATTTTAAATGATGTATTTTTTTTAAATACTATATTTTAAAATGTAATTTGTTCCTGTGATTACTTTTTTTACTACATTTTTTACTCAAGCTCAATTTTTACTCCAATCTTCTGTGTCACATGACACTAAACATGCAGATTAGAGCCATTTCCTATTTTTATCAATGTTGAAAACAGTTGTTCTTCATAATATTCTGTGGAAAACTTGATACATTTAGTTCATGAGTCTTTGATCAATAGAAACATTCAAAAGAACAACCTTTTGATTTTTTTTTTGTTTTTTTTTTTTGCTTTTTGTAACAAAGTAAAAGTCTTTAAACTTTTACTTTGTCTCCAGACTTTTGAATGGTAGTGTATAAAAAAAAAAAACAATCCCTTCAATATGTCCTTCCCTAACTTACTGTTTCAACGGGGAATACATCAACTCAGGAAAAAAAATAATTTGTAAAAAAAAAAAAAAAAAAAATTCAAGTCAATTCATTTCATGGGATCTTGAAGAATTCTGCTACAGCTGAGTGAAGCAATAACTAAATTTTCTTGACATATTGTACAAACAAGCCACTTTCACTTCATGCAGATGTATTCTGTTTTCAGGGTTGATTTACAATTTTAAAAAAAACTGTTGTAAGATTTAATGAAATTGTTAAGCCCCTGTGAGGATATTAAAAAAAGAAAGTTTTGTCTGTAGGAACTGAGAAGCTGCCAACGTGAGGGAGAACAAATGTTTTCTTTTCAAACACAACTTATATGCAAGAAGGTTTGAAGCTTTGGCTAGAGAGATTGCGTTTGGCATGTATCTTACCAAAACATAGCAGCACGGTTGATTTATTCCTTATAGCACAGCCATGGGGCATTCCTCCACCGCTGCCCCGCCAAACACGCACACACATCACCTCTTTTATCACTGTAGTCTCGCTTTCTCATTCCTTCCATCATTCTCCATTTCTGTCTACCTGCTCCTTTCCCCCCCACGATTCCCCTCGGACTCGTGTTCTGCCTGTTTTGCTCCCTTTGTGGGAGAATTTCACCAGTGACAGGAATACAGCACCTTCATTTCTATCTTCCTTTCGTTTCCCATCCCTCCCTCTAGTTCTGTCTGGCACTGGGGCAGGATGTGACAGTGTAAAGGCGAAGTGGGCTCTGCTCTGTTCAACATCTCCCACCCTCCAGTTATAAAACGTTATGCTTTCAGAAAGGTTCAAGGCAGGGTCTCTGAACTGAGACTATAATAGGAAAACATTTGAAGTACAGTATTAAATGTAAACGTGCAAAATCAGGGAAAGCGATCATGTATCATGTCTATCTGCAGTAGTCTGCTTTGTTAGGGTCATGTTTTGTATGTGATTGGCCTATACACTTATTTTGGCAGCTGCGCCCAACTTCTAGGCTAACTGTTTTTGGAAAACAAAAGAGTTCCGACTCCCACACGTGATCCTCCAGTTGCCATTATCAGCTCAAAGAATCAGAATCACATTATTCGCCATTATTTTTTTTTCCTAGTTATGAGCACTAGATCAGTGGTTCTCAACTGGTTTGAACGTGCGGCCCATATTTCCCCATGGTCATTAGGTCGTGACCCATTTTGTTTTTATTTGACCTAATTCAAATATATACTGTACACAATTATACAAATTATATTAAATTTGCTTTTAAAACCAAACTGTTCCACTTTACTTAACATACGCATTAATTTTTAAGAATATGACTTATACTGAATGATGAATAAACAGTATAAGGTAAAGCTATTAAATAGCAGTCCCATACTAGTTATTTTTAGTTAATAGATTAAAGTTAGTTAATTGGTATGAGCCACCACAGTCATATAAAATTAAGTGGTATTTTGGGGTAAACAATATTTACCATGGTAAATACACAATACTATGAACTGTTAATGGTACATAATATGGACACTGATCCTGATTAATAGAATAAGCGTCATATAAATAATGTTAGACACTGACTGACATATAGTCTGACAACGTCATGGATGTCTCGATTAAGAAAAAAATAGGATGTTGTTGTTTTTTGACTGCATACTCCGGCCGCTCAAAGCGGTCTTGTGACCCAGTTGAGAAACACTGCACTAGATAGCACAAAACAATTTAGTGTTTCTTGCAAAATAGGTTCAAAAGTTCCTTGTTATTCAAAAGAGCCATTTGTCCCACTGCTAAATCTGCCGAATTTTCAACCGATCCTACTTTATTACATTGTCCTCACTGAATAAGCAAAAAAATAAAATAAAAATAAAACCCAGTTGCAGTTGCGAACAAACTGTGGAATTTCATCAATACTTTCTAATGAATCTGTTGAGCCAATGGGCAAATCATTGTAAATCAGACTAAATTGATCATAGTTTCAATCATAAACTGAATCAGTCTGATTTAATCACTGAATCTTTTAAATGACCCACTCAATAAACCACAGTTTGTGTCCGACTCGAAATGAACCGAGAACCGGAACATTTTTGGAATGTTAATTTCAAGCAAAATCATTATTTGATGCACTGACTGCTTGCTTATTTTTAATTATTTATTTTTTTATTGTATAATGCATTATTAAGACTAATTATTTACCAAGGCAAATAAAGTAAAATATTACCATTTCAAATAACAGTTTTCTATTTTAATATATTTTAAAACCTTTGATGCTCTTTGCATGTCAGTCAAAAATTACTTATTTTTTATTACAATGGATTTAATCTACTATATTTGAGTTCAATAATGTTTTTTATTTATTATTTTTTATCTTTTTAAGGTATTTTATGGTACTTAATTATGTTTACGCTGTATTTATAATCCATTTATTTTCTTAGAATATACCTGAAAATTACATTTCCAACTTAAACATTGACATTTCCAAAGTAAATCTTGAATGTTTTAGACCACCGATTTATGCTTGATCTCTTTTCAAAGATGGCACTTGGCAGATTATTACTGAAATGAAAATGGTAAAAAAAAAAAAAAGGGTGAACTTAAAAAAGTTACATAATTGTACGTTTATTGTTATGAAAAATGCACAAAGATATCATTTTCATTTTTTTATGAAATATATATTTTCAAAAACATGTTTTACACACACAAAAAAAATTCAAAGCTAATATAAATCAAAATGAATCTAAACAAGTTGTGTTCCTTATTTGAGATTGAAAAAAAAAATAGCTTTCAGTAAGATTTTGTTTGGTTTGGCAGTAACAAAAGTTTTCACCAGATGAAATTTGTCTCCCATTAATTTTCAATACGGACGTTATTGACCACGAGGAGCACAAGTGTGACTGTTTTTTTTTTTTCAGGAACATTTAAACTTTTTTTATATATTTAAACATTTTTTAAATGTAAACATTTTTTCCAGCATTTTTTTTTCTTTTTGACTTCACATAGCAAGTGCCAAAACCTTTACCAAGTTTCGTACCATTCTGATGAAGTAGGCTAAAAAATTCTACAAAAAACAAAACGAAGAGCCTCACCCCAAGAGAGGGTTAAATGTAATTTATTCCTATGATGGCAAAGCTGAAATTTCAACAGCCATTCCTCTAGTCCTTCAGAGTGTCACATGCTCCTTCTAACAATCATTCTAACATGCTGATTTGATTGGGTCAACAAAAAAAAAAATCTTATCAATGTTTGTAGATTATTTTTGCTGCCAGTATCCATGTGTTCTTATGGGCTGGCATCTCACAAATGCCAACAGATTTAATGACACAGCCATTACAGCAGTAACACTCAACACTACAAAGTGCCTGCGGGCATGTGCCTTGTACAACAGCTGAGAGCTGGCAGTATTGGTTGAAAATACCCTGCTTAAACAAGCTTCCTTACCTCACAGTGACATTTAGAGGGAACCTCGGAACACCCTCTCTCATCATTCCCGCTGCCCCAAATTCCCAGGATTGGCCAAATTCTCCCAGACGCTCAGTGGAAGACGGCCGCACTCTGGGGACATGCTTGGCTTTCCTTTTTTACTCTAATTGGCCCCTCTGGTCCGATTCTTTCTGCTTTTCCAGCCTCACTCACCGCAGGGTGGAGAATGAATTATTCTCAGAAATACTACTGTATATTCTGCCAAATGTGGGGGGAAAATGCACAAATGATCAATGTTAGGCACATTAGTTGGATGCTTATAAAACATGCTAAAAATACATTGAGATGTTACACTCTTCAGCTAAACCTATCCATTTTAAAACGAGGTGAAAATATTCCCTCAACATTAAATGAATAAAAGGCCATGGTATTATTTAATTCTCCAACAAATACAAAAATGGTGATATAAGTGATATAACGTGCCTGGTGAAGACCTTAGGGGCGATTTTATAAATCCTTTGGAGCAGTAATTTTCAGTTTGAAGACTTCATACTTCTTTAATTATTCAATTCTCCACCTGAAATCTCCCATAAGGCTGTTCTCTCTGGAGCAGGGTTATTCAGTCAGACTAATTCACATGTCTTGACCAGCATTGTCAAGTGCAATTATGCCATATTTTGTCACTCAGACTTTAAAGTCAGAAGCGTTCCATGACGAAAACCATACACTGAGGAGCTCCATTGACCCAAACTCTGCTTTAATAAGAGAAATTGTTGTTGGACAGACAGGCAGATAACTGGGAATTTTCTAAAGGAGAACATTGGCTACATTTACAGTCACCATGGCGTGAAACGTGTCTGTAGAAAAATCCTAAATTGTATTCCAAAATTTCTCTAAATTATGGATGCATCTGGAGAACGTTGTCGAAGTTTGATTATTTATTTATTTTTCTTACTGCATGCCTTCTCAGTCTGTACATAGCACAGATTTCTCAAGAATCTATCTCAGTATTGAAACCCTTCACTTAG